GTCAGACGAGGGAAAGTTGGCAACATTCATGGGATCTRGAAAGTCCTCCCCAGATGTGCTACCTGGCCTGACCCATGATTTTGGAAGCTGGCAGCAACCAGGGTCCCAGCTAAAGTCCTCTGCAAGCAAGACATGTGTTAAGGGCATTTTTCCTCTTTTCCGACATATCATCTCCATTTGCATCACCACAGATCAAGAATCCTTACTGAGGACCTTTAAAAGCAACGAGCCTGTAGAACCTGTTTCAGATGACAGATTCCTTGAGGCTGCAATAGGGGATCCAATGCCATTGGAGTGAACTTGGAGTGAAGTCTTTGCAGTGACGTTTGATTGAGGATGGAGACGGGAGAATCTCTCTGCATCCCTGTRCCACAGYTTGGCCCACMCTCATTGGGATGAAGAATTGAGAATCTGAAAAAAGTTTCTCATTGCCCATTTTTATCCTGTTGCCTTGCATGCTCTTACAGTACCCTTCCATGAAAATCCAGCTACTCTGTGCCCTSYACAAGGGGGCTGTGCAGAGGAGCATGCTTGKTARGAGCTCCTTMMAAGGAGMGGGGAGATGCCCCTTGGAMTTCTCTGGTCTACGCTGAACAAAACCCCATTCTCCCASCACCTCTTTATCTGCACCACACTCCACCTCCTGACCATCTACCTCATTGTCCTTGTGCTGAACTCCCTCTCACTGGTTAGTGCCTTTGCAGAACTGGAGAGTCCACATGCGATCTGGTAGACAGATATGGTCTGCACTGTGCCTATATGGTYAGTGTGTTGATGGCCYTSTTGACTGTGCTCTTACAAATACAAATCTGTGAAGGTGGYCAAACCATGGCACAGSGACACAAGTACTCGAAGATAACMAAARCTTCACYGGAAAASWCCCAAAATCATGCTGGAAAAGGCAAAGATCTCCTCTACTTGGACCTGCCTTCAGCAACGCCTACCTACRGCTGTCCCCTTGACTGCAGGCTCAAGGAATCTGCTACTCTGACACGCTTTACAAACAGACCTGTCAAGCTGGAGCTGCTGCCTCCAACGCTGACCAARGACAGATGTCTCAGAGCCACCCATCACTCCCCCACAGCTGCCAACCCCACCACAGCCCTCATGCTGCACCAYGGCCTTCAGAGACAGCAGCTGCCTCCAAAGCCCTTCCCCACACACGAACCACTGCTGCCCCAGCAGCTCCTCTCACAACACACACCTCACAGCCAACATCAACGCCCACTGCCTGCTGCCGGCCTATCAGGCACGCAGAAAGACATGACATCACAGCCCCATCACACACAGGTCTCTCTCGCTGCCCCGGGAGCCTCTAGCACAGAAATGGCCTCCCCAGAACTTGCCCAGCCCCGAGCCCAGTCCCGGCTCRGCAGCTGCTCAGCACAGAGGAGCTCAAGAGCCCCCAGCSCGGCAGGGACCTGCTGCTGCCCTAGGAGGGGCTGTGGGAGCAGTGACGTCACAGTCACTAGGCAGACCCAGC